CTCTTTAAACCTTCCAGAAAACATGATAAAACTTCTAAAGAGACACTGCAGATAATAAAACTATTTCAAAAGTATTTTGCCGCAAGTCAAGTCTCAAGTTTATTGAAACAAGTTTAATTCAACTCTAAAGTATGGCTAGTAATGATACCCTGGATCAGTATTGGTGCTGATAGTCTCCATCACAAGCTGTGTTCAAAAACATGTTTTATGTACTTAGCTATTAGCAACTTCTAACAATTAAAATGTAAAGGTAAGCTCTATGCTAGGTGTGCCTGATGCTTTTTAATTTATTTCTGATAGTTTGATGAGACTTGAGTGTTTCTCATTGTAATTCTCCAGAGCAGGCAAAAGTGTTTGCACATGTTCAGCTTGGCAAGGCTTGAAAAGCTAGTAGTGATCCACAAGGATTCATGCAAATGTGGATTATGGCTAACACACTTGAGCATATGTCTATTAAAAGCCATTCATATTGATGCAAGCAGTACGGTTTCGAACCTGAATGTTGCATGCTCGCCAGTCTGAGTTACAGCCTCACTCTCGTCTTTTTTTGTCCTCTTCTCCTGCGCCAGCTCCCCATCCCTCTTCTTTCGCCCACGCATGTCAGGATGGCTGACCATTTGTCACTAGCAACCCACAGACACAGAAAACATTCCATCGATCTCTGTTTGGAGGTGGTGGGATGGTTGTGGAGGTGACCAAGTGTTGTTTGTGATTATCCTATCTACAGGTTTTGACCTGCTCTCAGAGTTGTGTGTCTGTGTGTGAAGGTAAAGGGAGGAAGGATCCAGGATAGGAAACATTTGAAGGCTGCTCCTCTTTTTCCAGAAGCAGCATCTTTGCGTTCAATGATGAGTCGCAGATCAACAATAGAGCCTTGTATGCTCTTGGTTGTCATTTTCTGAAGCACTGTTAGAAGGTAGTATTGCCAAAATACCATGTTTAAAACTCCACGCACCATTAGCTGTGCAATCACAGCCAGGGGAATGGCTTTGTAATAACCTCGGTGACAACTGCCTGCATCCCTCTATTCTACAGTCTGCCTCTCCACCAACGCCTCCGTCACCTCTGCTAGCTTTCACCTGAGTCATTTCCTGCTTCTCTGAATAGTTATTCTCCCCATGCTCTTTCAATAAATCCTTCGTTATCTAAATCTCTCCGTCTTGTTATTCCCTTACTAGCAGACTATTTATCTTTCTCTCTGCCTGGAGGTAATTGTCCTTCTTTGCTCCCATATCTGCCTCCCAGTCAAATAATAATAATCTTTTTTGGCCTGAATTTTTATGTACGTTATTGCCGAATCTCAAATGCATTATTGAATGTTAGATGCTAATGAGAAAATGAAATGTCTGTCAGTCTGTCTGTTGTTATTTTCTTATGACACCAGTCATGGAAAAAACTACTTTTACTCAAGTACTGCCCTACATTTTTACTTACTTACTGAACTTGATCATTTACATGTTATGCCCCTTTGTATTTCTACCCAACTACAATTATGAGACAAATATTTTGCTTTTATGTGAAAGCTATAGTTATCACTTACTTTTCAAGATAATAATCTAAATAAATCTAAAGGTAATTAATGAGTCATTATCAATATTTTTGACTAGCGGCCTCTTGATCAATACAGTGTTTTGTTTAGTCTTGTCTAGTTCGATAGTTCCACTGAAAAGTAACAGTGTATTAAATGACAATATGAGGAAGGGTCTCTGTTGAACCAACACAGAATAACCACCTGAATCTGCAGCTCCCCCCTTACAGAGCTCAATAGCAAGCTTAGCTCATTATTTAACTGTCCTGCGGCAACATTGCAAATTTGGTTTACTCCACTCTGCTCTCAAATGGTGTTTTCAGCCCAAGGCAGGCAGTCATTTTCAGTAAAAGAAAAAGCTCTATAGTCCCACAGTAAACTACCTGCTCTGCAGACAGACACACAGTGACCAGCTGGTGAGCATAGCGGAGCATTTAGCAGCTAAAAAGCCAGATACTTCCCTCAGGAGATGGAGGAGACCAAAAACAGAGCATAAAGAGAGAACATTTTGGATTTACATTCATCAGATGGCCAGAAACAAATTATTATCGATTATAACAGCTAGATGTGTAAACAAGCTGCTAACAATATCTGTGTTCCCAACTTTTGTCTACTTCAATTGAAAAAAAACATTAAAAAAGGTAGAACATTTACACCTGGAATTTTTTTTGGGTCAAAATGATCTTATATTACCCAAAAAAAACAGTAACAGTTTTAAAGTGCATCTTCTTTCTCATTTAATTTCTTAATTTTTTCTTTGATTCTTATCCCCCATTTCTTCAAATGTTCTCCCACCAACAATTTTCCCTCACCTCCTGACTCTTCTCCTCTGTTCCTGTCGTTCTGTTTGCAGGTGGAGTGGAGCTGGGAATAAATGCAAGCGGACAGAGACTCAGACACTGGTTCGACTGTCTCAAAAACAAAGGGAAGAAAGTGGAGTACTGGCATACGCTCACACAGCAAGGAGCCCCGAGCAGTGACAAACCGGACTAGATTACACAAGACATTCACACACACACACACACACACACACACACACACACACACACACACACACAACACACACACACACACACACACAAACAACAAACACACGCGTGCACACACAAACACACAACAAACAACACAAACACACAAACACACACAAACACACACACAAACAAACAAACAAACAAACAAACACACACAAACACACAACATTTGTCTCACTCGAGGTGGTTGTTTACTGAGACCAAGTAAAGTGGTAATAAGAGCAAAGGATAAAAGATGCAATAATAATAGTCATAAAAAGTATCATATAATGCCAATATTACCCCAACCAAGTATTAGAATATGATATTCATACTAATATTAGTAAAGGTAAAAAGGTGTAATCTGAATTTATTTTTTAAAGGTGAACCAAATTGTGACGATGTCCTCATTAAAGTGTTGACGTTACTAAACATTGCCCACAGAATTGTGCTTTAGACCTTAGTGTATTGTGGAAGTCGCTCATATTCTGTCCTTCAAATTTACACCTAATGAAGAGATTTGAGACTAATGTACTCAACATCCATACAGTGACTCATAATGTGGTATTACAGGAGCAGAGATGTTATGAAAGAGATTGTGTATTGAGAAGTTTCTATTTTAGTGGTTGTTGATCTGATGCAAATCAACACAGTATTATAAAGCACAAAAAGATCCATTCGGTGGATTTGTACCTTTACCGTTTCAGTGTTCTTGTTCTTATGTCTTTCATTGTCTTTAAGTGACAGTGGCTTTCTATACACCTTCATATCAGGCATTAACGTGTCAGTGTATGTGTGTGAATGTGTGTGTGCATGAGGGCTATGAGAATATGAGTGCCTACATTTTCTGTCTGTACAGTGTGTGAGTCTCTCTGTATTGATGTCACTCCCCATTCAAAATGTGTCCATCCAAACTTCAGAAGCACAGAAGTCTGAAGAAATTATAAAAAAAGGACAAAGAAGACACATACAAGAGAGAAATCCTCGGAAGCCAGCGCCACCACCACAGGCCTCAGTGGTGTGAGCGGTCCTGGCTGGGGAACACTGACAACCTGTCAATCATGTGTGCCAGACCCTTTGTCATCTCTCTACCATTGCCAGACAGGTCATAGAGCAAATTAAAGAATGGATTACATCTTGATACGTCACTTCTGACTGATCTTTTTGACTTTCCTGATGAAAGGATGAACGGATGTTGCTTTTTGGAGGTGCCATGTGTTCCTTGACTTTGCTGCGGCGTAATGAACCAGATTTCAACAGGATCCAAGCAGGTTTACCTCAGTGACTCCATTTCTGCTCCAACAAAGCCACAGATGATGCAACATTTACTCTCTGCTCGGCAATATCACAGCAGCAGCAGCAGTGTGTCGATTTGAAGATTCAGGCATTTTCTTTGGTCCTGGGATCTAATTCATGGCGAAATGGATGCCTAAAAGCTTGAAAATGTCCCCAACTTTGTGCACCGTCAGACACTGATCTCGAGAGGATATTGGATTAAATCTAAATCAGCCATTAGAAGGAATCATTGCAGTGATCAATGTTGCATTCATTCCATTACATCAGACCGTGACCAGACCTATTGAATATCAGGTCTACTCTTTAGAGGCATATTCTATCCTCTGGACAGGAGACACTGGGAGCACTGTGTACATGCTTGTGATTGCCTGCTGAGATAAAACTGTGCAGGAGAAATGCCCCCCCCTCCCTCCTCATCTTACATTTAACTTCAGGAGGTGCCATGCATGGCAGCAGGGGACAGTGATTAATCACAGGCCAGGATCCAAGATATTGAAAAGCAAAGCTAGATTGCACACTTAACCTGCATGCCTATTATGTGTCTCTATGCACATCTGTGCATGTCGATGGTATCTGGGCTAGACTTTCACTGAAACGTCTAAACGCCTGCCAAGATATGAAATGTACTCCCCTGGTTCATCTATCTCTACAGCTCTGGCCATGCACTGGTTCACAAAGCACACCCACAGTCGGTCAGTGGCCTCTGGGAGTTTTTCTAACTGTTGAATCGATCCGGCTGCTCATGTTCTTGTTGTCCTTCAACAACCTTGTGAATGTCTCATTGTTGACTGCAAAAAATTGATCCTTCAGTGGTGAATTAGGTTTAGATAAAAAAGGGCTTGGGCATTATCGTAGGTTGGAACGAAGATCATGTCAAGTAACAGTGAGCTTAAACACATTTTCAGTTAGACCTTAAATGAATTTAACAAGAGGGTTGGGCGAGGGTTTATTCTGTACTTTCTCTATGCACATCAGAATTCCCAGCATGTTGGCAGTGAGATAATCAAACCAAAACATCAACATTATGTTATCCATGCATCAAAGATGCATTTCTGGGAATACTGAGTTCTTTGATTGGAGCTATGCTGGGGACAGTGATCGAATACAGTTCACATTTCAGGCTGGTTGGTTGCTTATTCCTGTCTGAATCTGTTCGTTTTGTTTACAGTCACCAAATGTTAGACTTTTGTCTATTGACCCCCGCTTTGCTTATGTAATCATTTTATCTGCAATACATCTGCATGTTTAGCAATCACTAACAGCTTGTATAATAGAGTGCAACCATAGCTGATTATTCTGAATGCTGATGTGTTTACAGTCAATGCCATCAGTGCGTATTTGTTTGTTTGTGAATATGATGATTCAGGGTATTTTTGCTCAGTTGCTGTGATTATCAAGCAAGCTGTTGCTTTAAAAAACAAAACCTTTACTGTCACAGATTTTGACACTTCGTCTTCCTTACATTGAAATCAGTGGTAATGATGCAGGAGGGCAGGGGCGAATGAGATGGGGAATTCACTACTGCAGTCCCTGTGTATTCACTGTCAATGTCAGTCACACAGTATGGCTGCCATCCTGTGGTGGGTTTGTGTAACTTCTTCGCAAAAAAATTGAAGTCGTTTCAGTTGTCGTCTGTCTTCCTTTGAATAACACATTTCATTTTTGAGAAACATTAGACAGGCACCCCATGTGTTAATATACTGTATGTTTATTCATCATTGTCTTTTCAAACAAACCACATCCAGGCATATATGTGTTTTTTTGAGGGTCACTAACTTTACTTTTAGCAAAACCGATACTGTACTGAATTTATTTGATGTCAAAGCAGAGTAAAATAATTAAATGTATTTCCATTCTACCAGACAGCCTTTATTTACCCTATCTGTTACATCTCCACCTCCCCTTTTCTCTTTCTCATGGCTCGGTCACTCTGCCAATAAAGAGAGGCACATTGGCCTTGTCACTCCACAACAGCATGATGAAGGGCCGCAGGGCAGAGAAGGACGGGAAGGAGCGAGAGAACGACATGGTGGTGACGGCCCCGGCCTCCACTCCTTGTTCATTCAGTGCGAGGAAGGCTCTGTGTCGGGCATCATCTAGAACTACCCTCTCTTCGGAGTAGAGACCACACAGGTTGGAGCTCTCAAAGAGGGATGACAGTCCTGGTTAGGGGGAAATGGAGAGAAGAGTTTAAGTGGGGGAAAAGCAGGGATTAAAGCAAAGTAAATGTATCTGATACAGGGAGATGAGCAGAATGATGTGTATGCTATTTTCAATAATGACACTTTTCAAGGCTGTCTCCTTGCTGGTTGATAAAGTAATAAAACTACACAACCTGAAAGCATGGCAGGTATTAAAATAGTCTGACAGACCATGAAAGATAAACTAACCCAATTTCTTGATGAGCATGTTCATGTCTGGCTGGACATCCAACTCGATTTTGGGCAGAGTGACCTCCACATGCTCAGCAGTTGTTTCTTGTACTTCCTGTATCATTTGACGCACAGCTGTATCCGTCAGACTCTCTTCCACCTGCTGCAGGTCAGACACTTTGTTGGAGGTAGGCAGCAGGATGTAAAGACTGCTGTCACCAGTGAGAGCAAGCCTCGCCACCTGTTTGTAAAATGAAAATGAAAAAAAAATCAAAATGTTGACACTGAAGAGCCCTCAAAGACCACATTGAGACAACTATGCACCTCAAGACCCCCACCCTTGAATATGCCCAAAAGTATCTAAATACTTTGATTCCGTAGAAAACCTAAGATTGTGTTGACTCTCAAGCAAGTTTTGGAGTGATAAAGAGCATCCTCTTTCTCTGTTTTATTCTCAATAGGCCATATAAATAATACAATCAGAAACTGTTAGTCAAACTGAATACAAACATCTGTTGTGTCTGTGTAGTCAGATGTATTAGTTATGACTATGAGGAGAAGTACGTATTTTCACTTTTCACCTCACACAGTGGCTTTGCCTCCCATTACACCTTAGTAACTCTTCTCATGTGAAGCTGCCTGTTGTAGAGTGTGTGAATGGGTGGTTTAAGGAGGGTGTTGTTTTTTTCTCACCTGTGCCTTTAGCTGGACTACATACGTCATAGCCACCATGTATTTCGGGTGATAAAGGAGCTCTACATTCACCAGATCACCATCCAATTTTGTGAAGAGCCCTTTCCTGGGTTTCATTTCATATTTGACCTTCCACTGACCTGAAGTACAGACAGTTTATTAGTTCACATGCACATCCGTACTCTTATGCGCACACACTATACTGACCTGTAAAGGAGACAGCGTTGAGCAGCATCAGCTGTGTACTCGGTGACACTGAGTCGACCAAATGCTGGATTTTATTGTTGGTTTTATTTGCCACCCAGCTGTTGATCATCTCTGTGTTTTTCTCGCTGGTATCCAGTAGCATGACGGGTTTTGCTTCATAGAACTGGATGGACTGGTCAATAAAGGACTGGTTCAGATTGATTTCTGAGGAAGAGAACAGAGAAACCACGATGAGCTGCATTGATAGAACATTTTTTGGGGCACAGAATCTCTGCATCTACCTCTTTGACTTCAGAGGAGCTAATCTTTGAGCTTCACACAGTGATAGTTTTACCTGGGTTATAGTAGATCTGAGAAGCCATCTGCAAGGAGCCGGCCAACTTCTCTCTCAGCTTCTTCATCTGCAGGTGGACACAGTGGAAGTCGTGAGGCACACAGACAGCCCTCTCAATGGCTTTACGGGTGTCCCCCCTTGCACCTGAATGCATCAGAATGAAGAAAATACATAATATAGATAGAAATACGACTGTGCTTTGAAGTGATAATGAAAGCGGCAAAGTATGACTGACATTTCAATAGAGAAAAACTCCTGTGACATTTTAAAAAAAAAACTTTTTTTAAATCTAACTTCCTGTAAGTCATATACAAGATAATCTTTTATTCGTGTGCAGAGGTAACAAAGGGATAATATCGCTTGGACCATCTTAAAGGACAAGGTTAGTGTTATTGTTTGTTCTTACTATGAACAAACTCAATAAAAAAAAATCTATGATATATTCAGACCCATCATTTCTTCCCCTGCCTGGTTTTGGCAGTTCCTATTGAAGGATTAGTTGACAATATGACTAGTTTTAGAATTTGCAAGAATAACAAACATTATGCAGTTTAATGTTGTCATACCTAACAACAAATGGGACAGTGCCCCGATGATACTGATAGGAGAGAAGCAGGTTGCTGGAGGGTTGTGATTCTCTGAGGTGTGAATACAACTTCATGGAAAACTCTGTGATGGATTCCTGCAACATGGGTTCCCCTGTGCGACTGTTCTCGTCCTGGCAGGGCTCCCATGGTGTGGTGAAGCCGCTGCACGAGTGAGGTGGAGCAGTAGGAGCAACTGAAAGAAAGTAAAGCAGACTGTTAACATGTGCATGAATGCTGTACCTACTTTTTATGAAAACATCTCGTTCGGACTGTGCTGTAATATATAAGTACAGAAAAGATTGCCAAACCGATTATACGTTAAATACAAACATTATATACATTTGTGACAGACACAAAGGACAGACACAAAACACAGAGCACAGAACAATATGCACAAAAGCAAACAAAGGAATACAAGAAAAGGGAAGAGGAGGATTACATCATTATAACTAGTCTGGTAAAAAGTTCTAAATTACTTTGCCACAATTCAAGGTGCCTAACTATGGTGTCAGATATTCACATCCCTTATAAATCTATAAATAAGAGACTGCACAGACAAAAACAGGTTGGATAATCAACTTCTTTTTCAAAGGGATTTTCTGAAAAAATCAATTTCATTTTCTTTACAGATACCCTATCTCTGTTGTAACATGGGGGCAGATCTACCTTCAACAATGACATTTACAGAGCTCAGCTTTGCCCCCTCAGCAGATTGACAAAGGTAAGTCCCAGCATCCTCCATGCCAACATCTCTGATGATGATGGTCTGATCATGGTCCAGTGGATACAGCAGCTCCACTCTGCTATTATTAGCTGTTGAATCCTGAAGGAGATTCAACAGCTCATTGTCAAGACCTGTCTCTTTAAACCAAAGTGCATTGGCTTTGACTTCCCCGGCAGGTTGGAAATGGCACGGGAGGTGAGCAGTGGAGCCTTTGATAAACTTGATGCTATAGTTAAAGGATGCTGGAGAAAGAGGCAAAAACACTTGAATTTGAAATCAATTCTACCCAAATTCACTTTTTTTGTATGACAAGAGAAATGTGTATGTTCCTCACCTTCAACTCTAACTTTGTATGTTGTTATCATCTCCCTATCGTTGTCCTTTATCAAACATGAGTAATCGCCCTCGTTGGCAGCAGTAACAGGAGATATAAAAAGATACCTGCCACCCTGTTTAACTCTAGGCGAGGCATTCGGAGTATTGGCATTTATCTCATTACCTGTATTAGGAAAAATATCAAATTAAACAAACATATAACTGGGAGATTTTGCAATTTGATGTATAGTATGAGATATAATTAGACCATTGAATTTCCAGGTGATGGCCGCTCCAGTGAAGTCAGTTTGAAACGACAAACATGGCAGCTCCAGACTGGAACCAGGTACCACCCAAAGATTTGTCCCTGAAGAAAGCTTGACAGAAATAAATGGTTAAACATCTTGAGGCAAAGCTGCTATATTCACAGCACAAACATGATAAGGTTCAAGCACTTGTTCAGTTAGAATTATAATGGCTATGGAACATATTGGTACACATTCTGCGTGAGCTGCAATTCTCAGGCAGTCCTACCTCAAAAGCGAGCTGCAGCAAGAGGCAAAGTAAAGCCTGTTGTTTCATCTGAAACAGAGAATGGATGAAAGGGAGCAAAATATAATTGGAAAGTTGATGTAGATGTTTTACAAGTGAGGATTTCCAACTGAATATGGCACCAAGCCGAAAAAAATCAATAATGTGGCGCAATACCTGAAACATATTGATGTTGTCCACTATCAAATCTTTTAAAACTTTGATAATTTAGCTACAGCTTCCATTTGAATAAAATAAAGAAAAGTTATTTGTGATAGTCATTTAAGATATACTATAACATTGCCTTGGTTCAGTGATTATAAACAAAAAAGTTGGAGAAACATATTACAACTCACATTTGTTGAATTTCCAAATGAATCCAAATCCAGTCACCAATGATTTTTTAGCAGTACTTTGCTACACCTGTCACCATTAACTCCATCCACACATCTGACTGTCTGCTCCTCTGAACTGCAACCAACAATGACTAATCTGTGATTGTTGGTTTAGAGATGTTTGTTTGCATAATGCAGGTCTTCTGACTTACTGGAAATCACATGATTTCACATGTTGGCAACAGATACTATGTGGGATAACATTCACTGCGCTTTTCATTTTGCATTCATTGCATTTAATTTTGTTATGCAAAGATAGTGTTTAATTACTTATAAGTGATTAAGTCCAGGTTTTTTATCATCAACAATACATGCTCAAAAGTGTAACGGTTAGATGGGGATTGATAAGCTGTTTCACTTTTTCTCATTTTCAATTTGCATTAAAGGTTTTTGCTTGAAGTTTTTACATAATTGGATTTTGTCAAAGGTTGCATTTGGAAAGATACACAGAAAAGAACATAGTGGAAGGCAAACACAAGCTGAATGTGTGCTAATTTGCAGAAAAAGTGTTGCCACATTTGTGGACATCAATTATATGTCAGTGAAGCACCAAATTATGGAAGCTGAGTGCCAATTACAGTTTGAACAGGATAATTAATTCATGGGTTCATTATTGAGTACAGTGTTGTATTTGCTTGTTTGTGGGTATTCATGACCCCAATGACTTCACACACATTGATTTACTTCTAAGTACATTTTTCCTACTCAACCTTCATGCTACTATATTATATGTCCTACTGTTTACTCTACTCTACAGCTTGAGTCACTGTTTTTTTTTGTTTTACAAATTGAGAAATACAAACTGCTGAAAATACATTTTGCTGATGAAATATGTTGTTTTGTAATAGATAAACTAGGTTACTCTACCTTACAAAATGTAGAGCTGCGAGAATCAGAGTAGTAAACCATTAGCCAATTGATAAACAAACTATTTTATAATTGTTAAAGTCTAATTTCATTTAAAATGGCAAATAAGTCATGCAAGGGTTGTTATAAACTAACGATACAAACATTGTCAGGGGGCATTTTATATGAAGTAATTTTAGTTTTCTGATTGTACGTACAAACTAGTACAACTTACACACTTCAATGCAGGACTCTTTCTTGTTAAGCAGTAGGAAGATTTCCTTCACCACTAAACGTGTGACGATCGACAAAACACTCGATTAAGTAGACTGAGTAACTGGTCGCGAAGGGATCTTAGGGCGTAATCAGACGTGTGCAATCGAGACCCGGTTGTTAAAAAACGAAGAGACTCAAACCTTTTTTTATCGTTTTTCGCTATAAAGAACAAAACAAAAAGTGGAAAGAAGGCTTTGTTGATAATTGAATAGCTTACAAGTATGTGACCCGTGTCTTCACAACTTGGAGTGGAGTTCAGGCTCCCTGGAGAAGAGATCAACTAAAGAGAGTAAGTTAAGTTTTCCTCCTGGTCATCTGATCGACTAGCGGAAAGAGACCAAACAATGGCCAACAACACAGCCAGTAAACTGCTGCTGGTTCACTTAAGTTAACTTTGGTCCTGCTTGCTCAAATACAAGTTCCCATTCAAGGCAGTATTGTCTTTGTTCAAGTTTATACTTAAATCACGTTAGAAGATTTCGGTCTCCAGACTAGTTTATTCTGAGTGTAGTTATTTGTGCGCGTACTTAAAATGCAAAAGTCAATAAAGTTTACTTTTTAGTTTATAATTATTGTACTATTAGTCTGGAATTATAGACGGTGCATGTTATCTCTGAATAGATCATAGGATGTGTATAAAACCTCTAAGAAGCACTGTTTTTTCTCTCAATCCACAGTGAACATCAAGCCACAGAACTGAAGGGTGTAAGAGGCAATCATGGCCACACAGTTTAGTATCGATGATGCCTTTGTGTTGGATGAAGATGAGGAGGAAGCAGTGTCTGATGGAGACACCGAGGGATGGAAGAGCAAAGACAAGGACAGGGAAGGAGCAGAGACATTTGGTCCTCTAACTTTCTCCAAACCTCAGACTCATCCCTCGCCTGCTGCTGCTCCCGGCTCCCCTGAACACAGTAACCTAAAGTATCAGGTACAAATACATTTTTTTTTAAATAATTATTTATTCCACTAGAAAGGTTCCACTGAGATACAATATATCTTCTGCCAAGGAGTTCGGATCAAGCGAGGCAGCAGAACAAAACGGTTTCTATACAAGTAAAACAGGGACAGAGAACATCACGACAACAACACAAACACAACAGCAGACAGAGACCTAACAAACAAAAAAATAAAATAATCAACTTGTTGAAAAGAACTACATTGTAAAAACTGATTTAATGGATTTGTAAATATTTCAGAAGAACTTGAAACTGCACTTCTTTATCATCTGCTGTTTCTGTAGAATCTGGAAAATGAAGACGTCTTGGTCAGCAATGGCAATTCCTCTTTCAATAACTTCTTCAAAATCAGGTGAGTCTTATGTGTAGAACTATTGATGTGATTTAACTATCACCCCTCCTTCTACCTTAACCCTTTGAATGTGAGATAAACTCTGTTTGTGCTCTCTCCATAGCGACCCTGCGACTCTGTCTTACTGCAGCTCGCAGTGGTCCTTCAGCACCTTGAGTTCTGTCAATCACCTTTCTGCTCATTGCTGTGGGTTAGTTCAAACAACAAAAGCAAACTTCAACAACCACATACACAAAAATGATCACAACTAACAACAACAAACACTCACTTTAAAAAATGTTTTGCTCAGGTGGGTGTCCCATCCGCTCGTGAAGAAAAACAGAAGAGTTGTTCTGGCTTCTTTCCTTCTCCTCATCACTGGAGTTGGTAAGTCTTGAACAGTTCATTTATACTTTTAACACTTTTATTTTTTTCAAAACGTAAAACAATGTGCAGGACAAAATACAGTTACAAGTGTAGGTGACTTAAAAGGAAGGAAAAAGAAAACAAAAAAACACAACAAAATATTTGTTTAAGCAAATAAATAATCCCATTAGACCAGTCCCACCCACCCCTACAGTCAGACAGTCATGAAGACCTTTTTATTACCAAATATAAACAAAAACAAGCAACCTGTGTAATAAGGTCTTACCTTAAAAACAAATGCCTTTATTTTATTTCTGTCATCCGTTCCTGTTTTTCTTAGTGTTGTGTAAGTCAGTGACATGTTGAGAACCCTGAACTTTGTCCTCTTGTTGATACTATTTGTAAAACAGGTTTTTAGAGTTATGTAAGTGAATAAAAAAAGAGTTTTTAAATGCTGGATTGTCACCCTACCCTGAAAATGAACTTTCATCTTTTCTTTTAGCTCTTATTTTCACAGGTGTTGTCATCCAGCTGAATCCAGTTGCCGGTAAGGACATTAAACCTTCTTGGTTAATTACATGATTTTGTTGTCCAAAAACAACATAATTAGTCTGTTAACCCAGATGCAATATGACCACAGATCATTTAAACATTATCAACAAGCACAAAATGCTAAATGTGTGTGCTGGATATTAAAAAAAGAAGAAGAGTAATGCTTAAAGCATCAAAAAGCTGTAGATTGTTATCAGCTGATACAGAGCCAAAAGCAGTCAAAGAAAGAAACATTTGATGAAACAAATTACCAAACGGAAACCAATCATGTTACAACTAAATAATAAATCACAAACTTAACACAAATTACTACATTGGAAAAGAAAGTACCAATTCAAAAATATCTCCATTTAATTGAACTAACGCAAACATTACAAGAAAGACATTCCTTTGTGTCTGTGTACCTGCATGGTAAATGCTGGACTGTATGTTTTGGTTGGAGTCTATGAATGTGTATTCTGGCAGCCAACAAACAAAGCTTGGCAGCTCAGTGTGTCATCCTGTCTGTATACTTTTCCTGTAACACCATCACACACACTCTGCTGGATCGATGGTGAAGAAGCAGCAGTCATTCAAGGCCAAAGTCCCTTTGATGATAAAAAAGCAGTGTTTCTCAATCCAGTACAAATCTGTCCTGCTCGACTTTAAAGGTCCCATGTCATGCTTTTCCGGTTTAAGCCGTCCCCTTGTGTGTTATGAAGGTTTTTATGCATGTAAACGGTTTGCAAAGTCACAAACCCTCAAAGTACACCCTGTAGCGAGTAAAACTCTAACACAGAAAAGACCTGTCTATGCTGCCCCAGAAAGCCTCGTTGGAGATTTCTCTTTTTCTTCCTGGGTACAGTGACGTGACCATACCCAATTGGACCAATCCGTGGAGCTCCTCACACACACAGACTCTCTCAGCGGCAAAACTTTGACGCGCTGGGAGGTGCTGCTAGTGGAGCCTCGCAGCGGCGAGACTGTGGCATGACTGTAGGTGCGCCGCATTTGGGGGTGCGGCGGGGGGGGGGGGGCATTCTCATCTGATTGTCATTACTGGTGTCATTTTCTGGTTGCTAACGCCATTGTAACACATAATCACTGATGTTCCGCTGTAACGGTGGTGGACTCATCAGAACAGAGTGGGCGAGCTGACCAATCAGAGCACAGTGGGCTCACAGGGAGGGGGGGGCAGGAGCTCCAACAAGCCGTGAAGGACAGAGAGTGAATGCACATACTATACAGAGATGCTGTATGAGAAACCAATGTGAGTTTGGAAAATTGCACAATATAAATCTATTCTAGTATACCTCAACAATGGAATTATGATCAGTAGAAATGGCCATGACATGGGACCTTTAACAACTGGTGTGAAGGAATACAATTGACTGTAAACTAGCTGCATGCTACAGTAAATTATAGTACTTGTCAATTGTCAGCAAATTCTAAGACAGCAAAGTTGTAGTTTCAAACAAAGTCAGAAACACAATATTGTCCCAACTTTTATGCTTCTTTCTGGTATCAATCTTTTCATCTGTATTCTTGCAATAAAGAAAATAATATGTTTTCCTAAAATGTTAAACTCTTCCTTTAATGTGTGGTTGCATTGAATATTGTGTGTGACTGCGTCTTGATTCTAAAATGACTGTCTTCACAGGGGTTTCAAGTGCTATTTTCTTTGTACCTGGATTTCTTCTCTTCATCCCTGGCGGTAAATTGATCCTTTGTTTCCAGCCTTTTTGTTTCACTTTACATTCGCCCGTACCAGTTAATGTGTGCTTTGTTTGGAAGATATAATTAGTGTATTCTCTGTATTTCCTGCAGTGTACCATGTGATATACATCAGCTGTGCTGTCCGTGGAAGAAGAGGCTTCAAATTGTTCTACCTACCTTATTTTGAAAAATAACATTTCATGAGACACTAATTTTACTTTTTACCTTTTTAAATGAATTGTATTTTGTCACTTTTAACTAAAAAGGTTGATACATGGTTGTTTTTCTTGTCATTGTAATGACCACTACTTACTCAACCACTCAGTGCTTCGACTTTGTTTCCACATGAACTGATATTGCTGTGTGTGTACATGAAAAATAAGGAGATAGGTCTTGCCTGTGTTTCTCTATGTTGTGTGAATAATGACTGTGAAATTACAATAAAACTTTTGTATATTTTAAGATGTGTTTTTTTTTTGTTTTTTTGCAAGTGAGCTAGAGAAGGGTCAAACCTGCAGCTCTGCCTGCTCAGGGAGTTACATCTCTTGTAAGATATCAGTGTCTATGTAACTGCTAGCTCCTGCTATTTTTGAATGTCTTGTGTCTGCATGTCGGTTTACTTTGTCTTTGGTTCTGGGGTCTTTATCTTTACACACTAGAATTCTAGACCCGTCTAATCTTAAAGTTAAAGGAACTTCACGGAGCGTAATAAAATTGCTTTATGAAGTGATGGAATGCATAGGACCATGATAGAAATAAGTATTGGACTGTACATTAATATCCCTGACAATGTTAAATGTTGTAAAAAGATACATTTTTTGACAGTGTTATCATTCCATACTGATTTTATTTCAATGTTATTAAATACAATACTATGATATTTTCGTGGCCTACTTTTGTTGTGACATTTGTATGACATAGTGTAGCATAACATGAGAATACTCAGTCAAAATGTAAAGTTAATGTTACATTCAATCACTGGTCGTTAAGTAGCCTACACATGCATCAATTAAAACACACGAAACGTGAACCTTTTTTATGTGTTGGAGAAAGCAGTCAGTGCAGCCCCCGGCCTAGAGGGCGCTATAACGAAAGGAATGGCTTCGGCAAACATCGTCATCTGTCGTAAACTCGACTCGGTCAAGGATGGAGGAAGAGGCACGTAAGCTTCTCGAGGAAGGAATTGTAAAGAAATTGATCAGTCCTGGCAAAGGAGAGCTATCGACCTTTCCCAATGGAACCAAGGTAAAACTGTAGCATGTCCGCAGACGGACCAGTAGGGTCTTGTCCTCTGAAATGGTTAAGAAAAGCGACGAAGCACGTTAGCTAATGCTATCACTGGGAAGCTAACACTTTAGACACTGTCAGTTAGATTAATTTCACCAAACACATAACGCGTGTATACAGCCACTGCTGACAAAGTTGTGGGCATTGCTGCCTTAGTTTTTGGCTATACAGTGTAATATTTCGCTTGCTCTTTTAAAGCCGAGAAACCTTACATTTCTTCCCTTATTTTTTCATCTGATGGAAAGATAGGGGGGGGGACAGGATGGTATGTGTTTATGAAGGCTGATTGGTCTAAATCTCACGTCAATCAAACTGCTATTGTTGTGATTGGCCAGAATAAGATAGAGTGGATACGCTCTCCGGGCCTGTCAGAGAAGTACAGATTGCTCCTTTGTTTCTAGTAAACAAGCTGCATCGATCCAGTTTACTTAAAGGGTGATGTCTAAACTATTATTTAAACCGGATAGTTCTGTTGAGCAGGGTTTAATGTGTCTGTGTTCTTCGTATCTGTGTTCACCAGGTGTCTTCCACTACCGCACCAGCCTGTGTGATGGCACAGTGCTGGATGACTCCCGGACCATGGGGGGCCGCAGCAAACCCATGGAGCTCATTTTAGGCAAGAAGTTTAAACTAGCTGCGTGGGAGAGAGTGGTCATCACCATGAGGCAAGGCGAAGTTGCAGAATTTAACTGCGAAAATAAGGTAAGTGAGCTAGTCATTTGCTTGTTATGGGGTGACAATATTTGTTCTTTTTCGTGCATTGTCCATTTCTCTTTACCCCTCAGCACACATCACTGTACCCACTCGTGTCCCAGTCCCTGAGAAATATCAGTGCTGGTAAGGACCCCCTGGAAGGCCAGAGGCATTGCTGCGGCATTGCCCAGATTCACTCCCACCACTCTCTGGGGCATAACGACCTGGATAATCTTCAGGCCAATCCGCAGCCTCTTCTCTTCACCATCGATCTGCTGGAGGTGAGCAGGCAGGGCAGAGCACAGATTTTAAAATCATTGGTTGCTTTTTAAAGGATGCAGTGTTGTTTGAGGGTTATTTTTCTATTGTAGCACCAACACACAGCCTGGGTTGTGGTACCCAGCAACTACCATCACCCTTTTTATATCTCACTTTGACATATCTACGTAACTTTCTTTAAAGTTTTTTTTTTTTCATCAAACAAAAGACGCAAGAAATGTTCTTTTTAAATATGAAATCAAAAATGTTTTTGATTATTGCATACATTTAAGTATTGGAAACACGTGGATATAATGTAGTCTAATATGACTCTAACACAAATTGTTGTTAATAGTTAAGCAAAAACTGAAATGTGTAAGGCTTCCACTAACAGGGGATTCAGCCACTGATCTTCAATCTCTTTGTTTGCTAAGGTTCTGGCTCCAGGATCGTTCCAGCTTGATGTGTGGGCTATGACAGACGAAGAGAAATTTGAGCTCGTGCCTCAGATCCATGAGGAGGGCAACACGCTTTTCAAGCAGGGCAAAATTACAGAAGCTACAGAGAAGTACTACAATGGCATTGCCTGCCTAAAAAATCTACAGATGAAGGTAAGGGCACAGTTCAATACAAAAGAAAATACATCTGATCCAGTTTTTAGTATTTCATTTCATTTCAACAAACTCTTGCAACAAAATGCATTCTCTTATTCTTCTGTGACTTTTTTCTCCCCTTCAAGGAACATCCTGGAGACGAGGTATGGGTAAAGTTGGACCATATGATCACACCACTGCTCCTCAACTTCTGCCAGTGCAAGCTGCTCCAGGGCCAGTACTACGAAGTCATCGAACACTGCTCAGCACTCGTCTTCAAATATGAGGGTAAGGGTTGTTGGTGTTAAATAAGAAACAGCCCCTTCCAGCAAAATCACAACAACAAAGTAGTATGTAGTATGTAGTATGTCATCAAAATGTCATTGATACAATGTAAAAAAAAAAAAAAAAAAAAAAAATTAATCCTTGTCTATGTATGCAAGTATGTTTATTTGATTTGTCTGCTTGTATTATTTATGTCCCATTCATAACAGACAATTTGAAGGCCTACTATAAGCGTGCTAAGGCCCACGCTGCTGTGTGGAATGAGGTGGAGGCCAGGGTGGACTTTAATAAGGTTTTGGAGCTGGACCCCTCTCTGGGACCGTCTGTTGCCAAGGAGCTGAAGGCCATGGAGGACAGGATCCGCAACAAAGAGAAGGAAAAGGGTCGCTACAAGGGCCTGTTCAACTACACCGAACCACCAGCCACTGCTACTACAGTAAGTCTATTTTTAAAGCTACCATCTTCTGGTTCTCAGATATTACATTTAAGATGTTTGTTATGACATCATATAGTAGAAATGTAATTCTTTGCTTTTCCCTCCTCGTAGGGTTGAATCTCGCAATGGGATGGAACAAGAGGATTCCTGTGAATTTCAAGATGGAGAAGAAACAGTAGACACTGCTGGTGTTTTACTTTTTATCCAGCACCCAAGCCAAACACTCTTCCCTCTGCCCCTATGGCACACTCGAAATGTTCTCACACACTGTCGAGTCACACCCAGTCACGTAGATATACCAAGGTGCGATTTGCATTCCTGCCTTACTTCTTTCAAAACTCCCTCTCTCTGAAAAAAAAAGAAGTAAAATTCAGTCTTTGATGAGGACATGGTGACATTACCAACTTGACTTATATTCCATAGAAACCTGATATATGGTATGTACTGGCCAACAGCATTGTCATTTCAGAGCATATGGTTTTCCTCTGTTAAAGCAACAGAAATGTTAACACTCTTGGTTTCCACTTGCTCACAGTAATGGGCTACTACCTACAGAATGTTACCCTTGGCAACATTTTACAGGATTTGCTGCAGAGATTTTTGTTTTTTTCATTTAATGATTCATTTATCAGCTGTTTGTGGAAAGTCATTATATTGCAATTTATATAGAAAAACACAGACTTTTCACAGTATTAGAAACAAGTAGTTAAATTGTATTTTGTTGTCTTGTTTTCTCTGAAATATGTGCAGAGCTGTTGGATTTTTCTAATATAACCATAGTCCAACCAGGAGAGATTTCGATGGAATTCCAGATAGAAATGTTCTCCCCTCCAAAGAAACAAGGAATCTTTTTTTTTTCTTGCACAAGGGACATCATGTACCCATCATGCACTCTGCTGCTTTGCCCCGCCACACCTGCTCTTCCATCTTGGTCACAGCGGAAGCACAGGAATAAGCAGGAGGCCATTATCTCCTGGTGTATGGAACTGGGAAACCCAGCGTTCTGTGACAATCATTATAAAACACACAAGGACTTGTTATCTTTGCTTTCGCTTATGTACTTATTTCCTTTATGTAAGAAATATACCATTGTATTGTTTTTTTGTCAATATCCACTCTCCCCTCACCTGCTCCTTTACTTGCTTTAATAGAGCCACTTTACTCTTCATGTGAAGCACTAATGGCATCTGAAATCTGAAGTGAGATTTTAGTGAGATGGTTATTATGTAACAAAAAATGTGAGTTTATCTATGGCTCTGCATTTTCTTTATTATATTTGTGCCACATGATTTGGAAAATAGTGCTTGTTTAGTATCCTCTTAGTGTTCAAGCATTTTCTGCAGTTAAAGATGTTCAAAATATTTAGAGAAATTGTTAAAAACATTAGCACAAAATTTAAAAGTTTTCGGAGCTCTCACACATTGTTGCTTTCATTAATGGAGTATTCATTGCTCAATGCCCTGAAGGACTTCACTCAAATTATTTGAAGATGTCTTGCTGTCTGCACAATACATCAGTGTAACCAAAACAAAAAACGACCCACTCATTCTTATTAATTATGGTTCACAAATTAAAAAGAAACTGAAGGTGGTTTTTTTCAGTTATTTAATTAAGATATACATACAGAACTGCAAAAATCTGGTTTACAAAATTTCCATACTAACAAATTGACTTGAGATGTACAGCGTTCTTGGGATTGAAAAACATCTAATGTGTGTTTACACTACAAAAAAACAATGCAATGTGGATGGAAATGGGGTATATTCAGGATGCTCAGATTAACAAAACATATTCAGTGGTTGCAGAGTGACGGTCAGCATAGAAACTTGAGACGGGGTGCAGCTGGAACTTTGATTCCACCATTAAAACTAACCCATCTGTCTTGGTCAATAGCCATTATTGAATAAATAAAACTTTAAAACATTCCAATCGATCTTACTAAGGTTTTTACCAAGGGCTCAACTTAGTAATGCGTTTAAATTCCCCACAATTCTATTTAAAATAGATACAAACCTGCATTTTGCATACACCCTACAGTTCACAGAACGTTTGTGATAAACATAAATGGTATTGTGGAATGCAGGGAACAGTGGAGACAAGAAGGACATAATGCAACTATAAAAAGCCGCAGAGGAAAGAGCAAAAAAGCAGAGGATGGAAACAAGTTGTAAAACAGACGTTGGGGATCTTGAGGACAGGCTTCTACGGGAAAGAGTGAGGAGTGAAGGGAGCTTTCAAAAAGGTTATGTGGCGGGCGCTTCTCTCCGTCTCTGCAAGACACTCCCTGACCAGAGCTCGGGCGTGGATAATACCTGGAGACGACACAGGAGCAAGGAAGCATCGAATTAATAGTTTGACTTCAAAGGAATTGTTAAGTAATTGGTAACAGTTTCTCTCTGCGTACCTCAACTAATAATAAACCCCTGCATCCATGACAGTCTAAGATAACAAAAGCGCTGCATTAAAAAAAGAAAACTGCAGGTCAAGCTAAAGGCACAATTGGGTTCAGCCGTCTGTCCGCCTGTTAAATTAACACCACAGCCACCGCAGTTGCTGTCTAATATGTGCTTCTTTTTAAATCACACCAGACAATTACTTCTATATATTTTCATTACTATCCATAAGAATTTAAAAACAAGACCACACCTTGTGGTTTGAACTGACTCTCAGTCAGGGACTTTCTGTTCACACAGAAAATAGACTTTTAACCTTTGTGGACAATTGCTAAACATCTTGATTGTTTCTCACACATACCCAACTGCTGTAATTGTATTAGTGTTATTAAATGCAAAATCAACCAATGTCCCCCTTATCTAATTTAGTGTATTTGTCTTTGCTTCTGAGTTTATTTAAACACAATATGTTGGGAAAAAAATAAAAGTAGTGAATTGTTAATACTCCCCCTTTGCCCAAAATGTTGGAAAATACGGAAATTAACACAAGGCATTGTTTTTGTTTATATTAAATGTTTAATCATGTGTATGGGCTATTCATGATTACATTTATGTGGTTTGTTTGCTAAAAGTCAATTACAGATAGATAATTAGTTTCCTCTAGAGTGATGTTAACGAGTTTTTTCAATTCCCCATTAGACCTCTAACATAAGCAAATAAATAAGCAAATACATTTACATATTGACATTTAAATACCAAAATATAAAACTATTTTAGAAAAACAATCCGACCCTACGCAGAGCGAGTCCTGTGTCAGACCCGTCTTCACCACTGAGTGAAAGAGAACATTAGTTTTATATTCCCACCAGTAGATGACCCCAGGGTCACCACTCTTCCTTGGAGTCCCTTATTTCCATAATAAAGCAGAATAAGTCCAGCAGGGAACCACTCTCCCCCCCTTCGGCACTCTTATGAACTATTCATGACACACACACCACCACAAATCACGACTTGTAGCGAGAACAGGTACTGTATGTGTTTATAAAGTATAATATACCTCTCTTTAGCCTCTCCATAGCACTCTTGCTCCCAGCGTAGGTAGGCCTGATCTCACGGCTCATCTCCTCGATGACGGACAGAAGCTCACTGTATGTGGACCCTTGAGACACTTTGACAGGCTGCTTGTTCATTTTCACAAACATGGGACAAAGAAATATCCATCAACACGGGTCTCAGCTGAAAGTGCACATCACAATGAAAGAACAAAGTTCAAAGAAAGACGTGCTACTCTCCTTCATATGATATAGTGTGATGATAAAGAGAGCGACGGTACATAGTAACAGATAGACCACACACTGCTTTTATACTAAGTCTCTCTACGTCCCCTAAGCTATACAAGCCTCTCTACATCTCCATGGTTTCATGTAATCATATAAATATGTGAACATTTGTTTTTTTGTAATACTATGCACTTTGATCTTGCAACAAATCAGCCACCCCCTCTATCTCAACACTCCTACTGTATCTAATTAACATGCCTTGTGCTGCCTCAGAGTAATAACCTTCCAAAGCTGTCTCAAAGAGTTTTTACTTTACACCAGGAATAAAGGGAGAAAGAAAAGCTTTTAGAAGGTGGATTAGCAAAAGCTGACCCTCTCTCTTTCACTGAAGCTGCAAATAGAGGAAACGTCTCTTATAAAGTCAAGTTCATTTCCAATAGAAAGAAATGTTCAAAATTATTAATCAGCTTTTGTATAACAGCTGGGGGTGTATTCTGCTCATCATTCTGTTCCTCACAAATAAAACACTAGGTATGCAAGTTCCTGAGAGAGGTTTGCTAGACAGATTTTTCTGTCAAGGCCATGCTATCAATTTGTGTGGTACAACCAATGGCAACACAACAGTGCTGTGTGAATAACTGTAGCGCAGACATACCTGAACAAAGCCCATGGAGGGGGGGGCCAAAGTCACTAAAAGCCGGCCTGAAGTTGGATGACGAGGGCAGGGAAGGGGAGGGCACCGAGGAGCCTGGGCAGATGAGGAGAACAGATGTTACAAACTTTAGCTAGAACACAAGAACAATGAGAAGCAGCGTGCCTCGTGAAACATACAAACAAAGTTTCAACACTAATTAACTGTTTTCTGATACACAGAAGACACCTAAGGCTGGTGCCCCACGAGGACGAAAACGGGTTGTATCCGCATATTTCTCTTGCGTATAGCCCTTTTTGCCACACGAGGACGTAACGAAACGATAGAAACGGACCCCGCAAACGACAACGGGTCCAAAGGTGGATAGATCTGGGAACGGAGCGCTCTGGGGGGTCCAACGGCTCCGTGTGATCGCCTCAATACGATCATTTTGTGATAATGATGACGCAATAGCCCTGCCTCCCCCCACCTCTGCTGCTCACCCCCGCAAAAGTAAACTGCACACTGAATTCAGATTATTTATCTTTATCTCGATATGGACATAAACGCGAGTGAAGTCTAATCTGACAGGACGGAGACACGCAGCTCCTCCCGCATCACAGCGGGAGCAAAACACACACTTCAAGTCAGATCATCACCCTTAGCTATTTTAATTACCTCTCAAACTACCTAAACTAGTTATAAATATGTTTATTTTTACTGTCGGGTCATCATTACTGGATCAGCTGCTGCATGAGACAGACACTGACGCTGTCAGAAGAGAGGAAAAAGAGAGGACAGGCTCCGTGTATTTTATCATTATATAGAGTCGTTATTCATTTGTTTTAAAGCTTAATAAATAACAAAGAAGACCTTTGACCGGCACTTTTATAATTTGTCGCGGAAGATTTAAACTTTTACACACGTTGACCGGCGAAAAACTCTGCCCGGTTCCCTCGGCCCCCACCACGGTGAATAAACAGAAGGGCAACCATGACAACCATGCTTCTTCGCTGCTTTTGTGGAGGAAGTTACAGCGCCACGTACAGGCTTGGCATATGTACTGCAGCTTTTTCCAGCGGTTGGATCTAAACGGAGCTGTCTCGTGTAAACAGACACTATCCGGTGTATATTGCGTGTGGACGGAAGCTTTTTGGCGATTGCGTTTGCGTTAATCCTATGCGTTTTGCCGTATGCGTTCCCGTGGGGCAAGCACCTAAGAGTAGTTTATTGTGTGTGTATGGCCACTTACCATTACATTAGTGAGTGTTTAACTAGAATCACAGCATGAGGTTGATTGTTTCGTTGCCATGGTTACTGACTTTCCAATTTTGGCTAATGCAGATTTATAATAGTAATTATAGTGTTGAGTTAAGATAAAGCAACTGGTCAATATTTCATGTACAACATTAAAGGGACAGTTCCCCCCCAATCCAAAACATATGGTCACACTACAAGTTCCTTTAAACAATAGTGCAATTTATCATTAAGGCTGTTTTTGTGAAAGTAACTATTACAATTTAACTGAACTACACCAGCCCACTGTGTCAGCGCGCAGAAGGGATGTTGCCTCTGCTCTGGAGGAAGGTTTGTGATGGTGCGAGGTGTAAACATTAATAGCGTCCTTCTCGGCTGAGCTGAAACGTTAGGGTGTTCAGTTGCTAGCATATGAGCCTCTCACTCAAGAGTAGTTGTATGGTGATACGGTTGAAACCACAAGCCAGGAACCAGATAGTGCCAATATATTCAAAACAAGGCACACATCATATTCCTACGATATCTCCAGTACTCTGCAACTGGTACCAAAATAGTCTAAATGAATAGATAGCCCTACAGTCAAGAGGGCAGATAAGTATCTGATTTTGGGGGAACTGTGTTGTGTTAGAACCTGGAGGTGTGAGGTTGGATCCAGAGGGCGCCGGAGCAATGGGTTTGTAGCTCATGGCGAGTTCGGGAGGCAGCTCCCCATACGATGCGCCAGTTCCTTCCGACCCATCAACCCGGTGCTTATACAGCTTTACTGGTGGTTTTGAGCTCCTAAGAGCTGATACAAAGAAGAAACACACACACAGAAAAACACATAAAATGTATGTTCATCAAGTGTGCAGATATCAAAGCAGTGGAAATTCATTCTTAAGCATGTTTACAGCTTTTTAGGATATACCCTACAGAAATATAACAAGGTAGCTCAATAGCAAACAGAACCCAACCCTTGATATATCTCTCAGTTTATGACATTAAACGGAAAGTATTGCAAATATTTTGCCAAAATAATGTCAACATTTGTGATCTTGCTTATATGTTCATACATCGAGAACAAGAAATATGACCCGTTAATGTATGAAGTTTTCATTCACACTTACAGAAATAGATTTTTACAAGGCCTGTGTTTAAAGTTCATCGGTAATGTGTAGGAGTTCTCGTGTCATTTTAACAGCGATCAAAAGAGATGACATGAACAAGGAGAGAAAGATGCAGATCCTTGGATAGCTTTGACTTCATGCTCACTGTCCTATGCATGCATTTATCAAGCAGTATTAAAAAATACTGCTTGTTTTATAAAATGATCTCCTTAAATAATTGTCACCATCACAATGCACAAAGTGTACGTCTTTGGCTATGCTGTTTCTTAGTTTAATCCTGCATTTTCCTTTAAACATGGTTTGCATCCTTTAAGTGTGTGTTTCATGTTGTCATTTCTGCTTTATTGAACATTAATTTTACATTATGTAAAGCACTTTGAAGTGTGCTCTACGAATGATCTTCTCTTACCTAAACAAGACCATATGACCCTTTACATATTATCATCTTATTATTATTATTATTATTATTATTATCACATTATTTTTTATTATATCATTATTATTATTATTATTATTATTATTATTATTATTATTATTATTATTATTATACGTTAGTATTGTGAACAACAGAGTTGCACAGCAACAGTTTGTTAATTGTGATTATCTTTTAGATACATATATTCTGTGTAAATGTGAGACGAAACGATTACCATTACAGTTCATCCCTCATAAAATGTACCTTCAATTAAGACAGTGTTCACTTCTCATTCAAATCTGGTAAATATCACATCTGATAACAAGTTTGGTATGAATTTAATCAGTTTGATCAGTTTTATGTATTCAGGTTTGCGAACACCTTTCAGAGCGAGGATCATGTTGATGTGATCACCAGAGGTGGGGAGTGAAACAAAAGCTGACGTTAGCTTCAGGAAGGTGATGAAGAGCTAACTACTACTAGATAATGTTAGCTAGATTAGCTAAGGCTAGCTGTCGCCGGTTAGCATAACAACAAGTAGGACGCAGGAAAATAGTCGTGATGCAGAGTAGATATTTCATATACAGACAGTGAATGATATAGAGGTTATCTACACTCGGAACCATTTAGAAGACTATAAACGTGGGGAATGTCCTCACCTTTGTAAGCAGACTTTGAAAATCCTCTGTGAGAAGACAGCTCTTCCCGTGTGTGAGTCTGCGCAGTAGTGATGCGTAGTGTAGTACAGTTTTTTTACTTTTAAAGCGACGTGATTGGATGATTGAGTAACCTATGACGTCTGTTTCAGAGATGTCATCACGTACAGTAACCACAGCGCCAAACATGAAAATGAGTTCCTTTTTATAAACTTTAAAGGTGATGGATTTGATACAAATATGGTTTTTTTTAGTCAACTTATTTTAATATGAGGAAAATGTCATATTCACAATAAGAAATGGACTGACTAAAAATCTAATTTTGCACATTTTTACTTAGAATTACAACAGTATGCCACTACTATTAAAATTATTCATAATAAGAAGCCAATCAAAACTAAATGTGTATTTGATCAATATTTTACTTGAAATGTTCACTTTTGTTTGTTTTTTCCGTTATAAGATAAAATAAGATGTACTTTATTAATCCCAATTTGGGGAAAAGATGTGATGCAGCAGCATAAAACAAAACAAGGCATTGCACATAATAACAAATTAAAAGAGTAGAAAGATAAGATAAGATAAGAAGTACTTTATTGATCCCAATTTGAGAAATGTTTGCGTTGCAGCAGCATACTAAGGCCCCGCTCACACGGGACCGTTTGCATTTATGCACAGTATGCGTATTCAAAAAAGTATTCCGTTCACATGCATTCGTTTCATTTAACGTGTCTGTTCAAACGAGGCCGCTGGAAACGCTGTAGTACATATGCCGGGACTGTAAGTGGCGCTGTAACTTCCGCCAAAATACACCAAAAGCCGCGAAGAAGAGCAGCCCAAGCAGCCCCGCTGCAATGTTGCCATGGCTACCCTTCTGTTTAAGCCCCGCGGTGTATTTAGCAACATGTAGTTCATGTAATTCTCCATGTCCACTTGTTGCTGATGGTTGTGGTAGAGGAGCTGTAGATTTTGCACTAATATCTGTAGCATGGTCAGTAGCAGTAGCACTAGCAGTAGCTACTGACAGGAGGAAGTGTGTGGCGATTGCTGGTATTCAGCGGGATATAGTCATTTCCTCAGCATATGGATAAATGCAACGGGGAAGTTAACTGAAAGAAACCGAATCTGGATATTGCATCGACCGACCAAGAAGCATGTCTCCGTGGAGAGGACGGCTCAGAAAGAGAGATATTCTCTACAAACACCGGGTGAGATCGCACCTTTGTCAATATAATGGATCAATGCATGAAATCTGACTCTGTTTATTTTGTTTAAGGAGTATATTAGGCGTTAACAATTCTGGTTTGCCTTTTATAATATTATTTCATTCAAGAACCCCTTGTGCGTTTAATTAACACAGCTATTTTTGATAGTTGCTACAGCAGTGAGCAGGAGAGGTGGGGCTATCGCTATTTTTTCAGGAAATATTCGTATAGAGGTGATTACACGGACTCGGTTGACCCCCCAGAGCGTTTCGTTTGCAAATCTATCCACCTTGGGACCCGTTATCGTTTGTGTGGTCAGTTTCTATCGGCCCCGTGTAAATAATAGGGCTATACGCACGCGAAACTATGCAGATACAAGCAGTTTTCTCCTCGTGTAAACGGCGCCTAAGTGCACTACTTGTTATCCTCCACCACAACAACATCCTCTCCCAGAATGCACTGGGGCAGTGGAGACAAAAGTATAGTAGTGGGTAAAAGGCATAGAGAGGGGGATGTTGAAGCCAGGCTGAGTGGTGGAGGTGAGATGTTGATTGGAGGAGACTGCAGAGGGCGGAGAGCTAAACCTGTTGAAAAAGGTGTTGAGTTTGTTAGCTCTCTCTCCAGGGTGCCCTCAGTCAGTCTGTCTCTCCCCTTGAACCCCGTCATGGCCTTCATCCCATTCCAAACAACCCGGCTATTGTTCTGTTGGAGCTTGGCCTGCAGCTTCTTCCTGTAGAAATCTTTGCTCAGCCTCAGCTTGTCCCCTTATATTTATTTATTTACATTTTAGGATTTGTTTGTACATGAATATTTTCTTGAATAAAGGAGAAATAAAAGAGTTACAAATGAATACTTACATGTAAGATGGTGTGCATTTATTGTGTCATTAGTTCACAGATATCACGTGAAAATTCCTAAAACCATAACTTGTTTAGTTGAAGGCAGATGCTTTTTAAACGCGGGTGAATACAGTGAACAATGTTATTTACACCCGGGTGACTATAGGCAACAATGCTATTTGATCTATGTGATCTATAGTGACTATAGGCAACAATGCTTTATGCACCCAGGTGAAAATAGTGAACAATGCTATTTGCACCTGGCATTGTTCACTACAGTCACCCGGGTGCAAATACCATCAGCCTTTTTATTTTGCCACAACAGTATCAAAGAAGCCGAACTGGTTTACTTACCACCATAGATGTATAAAGAGAACTCCCTCTGCAAAGTTTCCTATCATAGCATTTTACTTGACTAAACTAGCTAAATCAACTTGGCTCAACTAGTTACATTAGCTCATATATAACCATTTCATTTAGATTATAAAAACATTGAGAAAAACCTAGCATTTTCGTAAAGGGTTTATTTGTGTTTCATGTATCCTACATTTTACATTTGTATCCCTCACTCCAAAGACTGTCTCTAAAAAGATGTCTTCAACTCCAATTATGACATGACTTTTGGAGCAGGCTTCTAGTCTAATGTATCACTTTAGGCATTATGTGACAAGGTGAGGGAGTGCATATATCCACCCCTTTAGTTTAATGCATGAATATTCATCAGGTGATCATGGCGGTACTTTATGTTTTTCTAGAAGGTTAGCAGGTGTTGGAAAGAAAGGACTAGCCGTGCTTTTGACAGTTCCCACTAGGTACGATGAGATGAGTTTTATCTAATGAAATTCCCTGGCTGAAAGAACATGAACAATCAGAAAAGAAAAAGGAGAGTGCAAAATGTACCCTGTTTGACACAAAAGTGTACCATGGACGTAAAAGTAAATTAGCTAATTCTGCTGGGTTTCAAAAAATGAGATAATGCATTATCCAGTCCCTTGCACTTTATGATGACAGACATTTCTTAGACATTTGCCGGTTCTTTGGTTGAATGAAAAGTGTCTACTTGAATGCAACACCTCGTGTTTTTAGGCATGATGGAATTCGTCTTTTAGGCCTGGTTCTCAAATGTGTGATAACTATCCTTCTTGCTGTGTTATTGAGCATTACTTTGACAGGTTTGAAAAAAATGATGTGACATTTAGTTTTAAATGTGATGCAACATACTTGTCTGTTACTAAGCTATAGTCCAAATCAGCGTAGAAATAAAAGCCAGTGACAATAATTAAAGATGATTACAGAGAAAAGCAGGATCAGCTATGAATAGGCTTTTAAGCAGATATATAAAGGGTATTTGGATAATTAAGCAGGTACTCGGCTCAACCCTCAGGCGCATTCAATGCCGAAGAAACCCTTGATGTGTCCCCATTAAAATATTGAAAAATTGCAATGACTAAGAACGACATTATTTCAAGTTTCTGGGATGTACCTGTGAAGTGTCACAATGAGAGCAAGGTAAAAAATAACTTACATCTATGCTGTAATAGGACTATTGTCAAAATGTTTATTAAAACAATAGTCAGATGTTAAAACTTATAACAAATATTTGATACTGAAAAATAGAGTCTGAATCGTATGGTTCATTCAACAGTTTAATAATGGCTCAGTGAGTGGATCATCTTTCTTCTTTTAGACTAAAAGATGGATTCAACTAGCTTGAGCTGTGTCACCTTTTATTCAATAATGGGGGTTATTCATTATTGGTTCACCGGAGCAGTTGAAATTGGAAATGAGTCTGCACTCATGGCAGGGAAGCAATTTCTCCCTAATGGAGCCTAAATGTGATCCAATTTGGAGGCAAGAACTTTTTTCTCCCCTCTCTGGCTGTCTTAGTTATTACCATGGAAACCACAGCTAGGTAAGCCATACATTTCTGGAGTGGATGCTCCAGATAAAAAATAATTTGACAATTTTATAAAAGCAAAATATATTTTCATGGAAAATTGTAATCATGTTGAAAAGTCAGAGTTCCTGGTTGAAAATGTGGTGAGTTCACCTGCAGAAAAACGTGCCCCATTAAACTTATGCGTACTAAAAGTACAGAGATCTCCATGGAGAGTATTGGCTAAGTTGGAACTGTGTGAACTTGCTTTGCAAGGGTTTGAATGTAATGGTTGTCAATATTTACTCTCTAATGGAATGAGAACAATATATTGTCTTGCTGTACACAGGTTTGGTACTCTGCAGCAAAAGACTAAAATGCAGCATTCGTCATAATGCTGAAGACGCTTTGTGCAAACCTGTACCCTGACAATGATCTGTATAGTACAAAGTTGTTCTTATACTTAAGTAGTGACATGAATCTGGCGAACAACTTTGTGTAAGAGATGTAGTCTTATTTGAAGAATTTAAAGAGCAGGTGGAAGGAAGCATTATCAGAAAATCATGTAAGTAAATTTGCTTCAACAAGGCCTTTATCTTTCAGTTCCCCGTGGTTATTTCCCAAAGTGATGTAGAAATAAACAAATGAACTGGTGCTATAAAATTGTTTTGCAGATGATTAAACATACAGTAGATAATTTATCAATATACAGATATGAATGAATTCCTAAAGCAGGACTGTGAAAACGTCAAAATAAATGCTGCATATTTCCTCTTAGAAATAAAAATGAATGAAAACGATTTAAACACACAATATCTCTATTTAAATTAATTCACAAAGAAGGAGTGCTGGAGTAAGTACTAGCTTTTAATTAGCTTAAGTAAAATAACAAATAAATCATTGCAGAAATAATCCATTTTTTTTTTACTTTCAACTTTGTTGATGGTATATTTACAGATCTGAAGTAGTCTGAGCTAGCATTGACATTCTCATGCTCCAGTTCTTCTTTACAATTATCCAATACATAAATGGCACAAAACATTTCCTTGTTGTTAGAAGCCTTGGGTATCTGAGGCCTTCCTAGAGCTTTACTGGTAATGAATGTATCTGAGGACAGAAAAGCGGCTTCATTATTTGATA